GTACTAAATGTACAACAGGCATGATGGATTTGCGCACGCCCTCTATATCCTAGTAGTAGCCATTATTGAGATCAATTACTTTTGGTTCATATCACATGACCTGTAATTTTGTATTGATATGCTTCACGTAATTATGCTTTACTTTAACATAATTTGATAAATTTATGTTTTTATTGATTATGATCCTTTTCCATGTCAGGATTCTGGTTAAAGTTTGATTTAATCGAGTTCACGAAGCATCGATCACCTCCCTACAGAGAATGCAATTGCCAAGAAACTTTCATCATCTTGCTGGATGTATACCATCAGGCCATTATTATCATTATATTCTATTTATTATCTCATATTGTGAATTCTTATTCTGTTCTTTACTCTTAATTTTCCAGTATGCAGACTGTGGGGGTGACATATTTTCGATTAATACTAATAGCAATTTCAATTGCTTTTGTCACCCCTGACCAGCAGATTGTATCCTTCTCTCTCTTTCCTTTCCACTTTCTAAAGCTGTTTGCATGTATTATGAAATGTCTATGTATTATCTGATTGTTATACTCATTGTATGTTTTCCGATCGGTCAAATAAATAATAATAATAATAATAATTAATGGGCCTATGCCTTTTTATGAATATTAAATCAGTTTATTCCCTTCCTATATCTGTCGATATCTGTAAGCACCCATATTTCATCAGGCCTCCTCTGCATCCATGCACCTACCAAATCTAATTCGAGGTCTTTCGCAATCTGCAGAGCGTGATCCAGTCTCTGAATTTCTCTTTTCAGCTCGAAGTTTTCTTCGCGGAGACGAAAGAGCTCGACAAAGTTCGGATTCTCTCGGCAACTTTCGACAGATTTCGACGTGTCTTCCGAAGGTGTGCGTTTCTTATGTTCACCACCCGTCGCCAGTACTACATCAGTTAAAATCTGTACTTTCTCCTGCAAAGCCTGTATTCATGATGATTATGAATGAAATGCTTCGTCAATAAAGATCATGACATTGTAAATCGATAAAATATTAATAACAATAATTATTATAAAAAAGAAGATAATGACAATTGGCTCCTCAGTAGCCCGGGGTGGGGGGGGGGGGGGGGATGGGTAGGGTTACAATTTTTACCGAAACGTTATTATGAATATTGTATTCAAATCAGAATTTGATTGTATTTGGTTGACAAACATCGATCACTTTAAGCCCCTCCAATATTTTGTCCAATTTGATGCCGAGATGCATCTGGACAATGACGCAGGTAACTCGTATTGCATCGGAGGTATTTATCTGTACGCTTGATTACCGAAATACTAAAAGCATCAAAACAGCTTTAAAGGGATAGTTGAGTTCTGTTTTCAGACCGCAAATGTCTTCAAAGTGCATGGTTATTGCTCTTATTATTATCTATGACATTTCTAGTGCCCTTTTAGAACCTAAAATTGCTATGAAGATAATTTTTTACCCCAAAATGTGTGAAATTTAGCCAAAACGATCATACCAATTCAGCTCCACTAAAAAAAAAAAACGGTGACCGTTAATTAATTATTGAATTAAAAATAACAATACATGGGCCGGCTGGTTGTGCGTATTATAACGACACGAAAAAAAAGCCAACATCGGCATTGGCTTAATTACGACGTAAAAGGCACTATTTCGTTTTTTCAACGGTTTTTTTTTCTTCAAATTATCTAATATTTGTGGTGGTACACAAGTATTAGAAATCATTATATTTATGGATATTACAGCCGTCTCTGAACCGATTTTTATCAAAGAAAGATGATTTTGTTATTTAAATTGTATGTTCTTTCAAATTTGACACTCAGATTTTCATTATCTCCCAAACAATTATTTTGTGTAGCGCCCTCTGCAACAGAACTCAACTATCCCTTTAAGCAGGCGCGTAGCCACGGGGGGGGGGGGGGGGGGGGCACGTGCCCCCCTACATTTCCAGAATAGGTTGCATTTTTTAGACCCCTTTTTTCACCTCGATCGATTACATGTATGTGCCCCCCCCCCCCCCCCCACACAACAATCAAACTCTGGCTACGCGTCTGCCTTTAAGGAATCCGTAAAAGAATAGTCACCCAAATTCAAAACAGTAAGCATGGTAAGAGGGTAGGCTACTTAATATATATAATATATCGTTGCATTTCATGCAAGATCCGTTTAGCTAAAACTAGTCATCAAAGCCTCAGCAGTACAATTTTTTAGTGAATGTTGGGTTTATAAAATAACATTATTCTAACATTGATGAATGAAAATAACAAATGTATGTGTCCTTACTTTAACAAGATTTTCCAAAGCGTCCTGTCTCAGTTTCACGTTAGACAGTGCAGACCACACTAAGTCGCTGCAAAGTTCCTGGTGATAAAATGGTAACAATGTCCAATAAACTGAAATATAAATTGTTTTATTACAATTTTGTCTTTTATTACAACGGCAACATTTTCTTTATCTCTCATGGTTTAATGATTTAGGTCGAGAGGAGCAAATGCCCACTACCAATTACCATACACGTGTGTTTGCCATTTGGACCTAATTTTACGGGGCATATAACTAAGGACCACTGAACAAAAGATGGGAGGAAGAAAAAGAATTTCGAAAAATAGGGCGGGGTCGTGTTTCTGGCCGGACAGTAACATTTTGAGGGGGCATAGTCCAAGGCTCACTGAACAAAAGATGGGAGGAAGAAAAAGGATTTCGAAAAATAGGGCGGGGTCGTGTTTCTGGCCGGACAGTAACATTTTGAGGGGGCATAGTCCAAGGCTCACTGAACAAAAGATGGGAGGAAGAAAAAGAATTTCGAGAAATAGGGCGGGTCGTGTTTTGGCCGGAAAGCTAAATTTTACGGGGCACTGAACAAAAGATGAGAGGAAAAAAAAAAAAGAATTTCGAAAAGTAGGGCGGGGTCGTGTGTCTGGACAGTTCACGAAGTCTAAAGCTATCTCGTTTGCCGATGGATTTTTAGGAAAAATACGTATCACCCAATATCACTGACCATCGTAATGTTGTCCAAGAAATAAGTCTTATAAGACATTATGCTTCATTGCTTGTAAACTTCTTTAAATTACTGTTTGAAATAAACTTTCCGGTAACAACCTGTCCGGACACACAACTTGGTTAGACCCGAAACACTGTTGTTCGAATAAGTTGTTCTAGGGCCCACCTTTTTTCCTGAAACGATTGTGACAACGTGAACTATTCTTGATCATGAAGTTTATATCTTCTCATCTTTATTAGTCAGTCTAGTATGCCCTAAACTCTTTACTCATCAATCCGAATGTAAAAGCGAATTGTTTATTTTTTTTAAGTGACACCCCACCCACAATCATAAAACGTTTAACTCCTAGATTCTATATAAATCAACGGAATAGGCCTATAATATAATGCAGCCCCCCCCCCCCCTCATTTCAATTTGTAAATATCAGAACACACCCTCACCTCACTGGTCATGACTGACTCCGTTCTCCTAATTTGATAGCTTCTGACTATTCCGGGTACCGGTTGCCACAATCAGCTCGACATTTCGTTAATTTTCATGTGCCCGTTTCTTGCTAGGTACGTTCATGGGAGCATTTCTACAACGATGCGCTTTACGCGACAAGGGCGCGTTATTTCTAATGACCTTTTCTGCCAAGCGCCACGCGCCCCACTTTACAAGTAGTATTGGTGCCTATGGTGTGGCCCGGCCTTTACATGGCGTGTAGCTTTGTTTTTAATGGGATATGGGTTTAGGCAAGGTCCGAATTGGGAATAGTCCAAACAAACACGTCGACGAAATAAAACTGAGCAATCAATTTCGGGCAGAATGTTAATTGTGCCGATAAAATCTTCAATCACATGAAATGTTTACTAGCTGTATGGCATTATTTTAAGAAGGGAAAAATGGGGCACTAACCAGCATTGCTTTTGTAAAGGATTAAAAAAAAAAGTTTAATATGATGGGGGTTGTGTTTCCGGACGCTTAATAAAAATAAAGCCGTTTTGCTTAAGGATTTATAGAAAAATGTGCATCAGTTAGCACTAACCATCATACAAATTTGCCTTTTATAATGATGTCTAACATAAGTCTTAAAAGATTTCTAAAATATTGCATGTAAACTTCTTCAAATTAATCACCGATTTAAATCAACTGTCCGGACAACGCAACGTCTGGGTACCTACATGTAGGTATCCAGCCGTACCCAGATAATTCGAACCCGGACAAACGATTTCAAACGGTAAATTGAACTTGGTTTCCATGTAATATTTCAGAAACCTTTACACATCTATGTTGGGCAATATTATCTATGACAAAAGTTCAAGGTGGTTAGTCCATTTTGAAGCTCATTTTTCATGTAATCTAACAGCAAACGGACAGCATTATTTCTGTCCGGACACGCCACCCCGTCCTATAAGGCTATATAAATATAAAAAGGGATTGAAGGTGAATATGCACTGTGCCCGTCCGTCCCAGCCCCCCCCCCCCAACTTAGTGTTATTTAGGGTACGCATATGCATGTTCCCTCCTTTTGAAAACACCCCTATTAAAGTCCGGTGTGTAAAACGGGCTTTTGTGTACTACGAGCCGGACTTTGGTGCGTGAAAAGTACCACTTTACTGGACATTTTGGTAACACGCATGGTATCCCTCCGATCTTGGATTCTTTTCCTAATACTCCGAAGAAGAGTGGGGGGGGGGGGGGTGGGGCGGGCCCTCCACTTCCTGAGCACCTCTGACAGTCACCAAGTTAAATATATATTTATTTTCTTACTTTATCCATAATTTTAAGAAAAATCCCCCAAGATATCTCGAGTGCACAACACTTTCGATTTAACTCTCCAAGAAGTCCCCCCACCCGATAAAATGCCAAAGTGACATCCGGAAAATGTGCTAATCTTTCCCTTTATGAGAGATTTTTATGCTAAATACATGTTTGTTGTAGCTCCCCCCCCCCCCCCCCAACAGAGTTATAAAGATACAGTAACAGTTACACTACGAGATAATCAAACATAAAGTACACCAGGAAGAGCATTTCCTTTACCCAAGTATTTATTACCAGCATAAAATGCTATCAAAATAATGAAAGTAAAGTATCAGGAAAAATATATCGGAGATCTGATGTGTGTACATGAAATAGTATTGCTTGAAAGACGCAACAAATATATCATAATTATAATGGGTTCTTGTATAGCGCTCATGTCAGTTAGATTTGACCCTCCTGGCGCTCCCGATTATATGGAAAGAGAAAGAAAGAATGGCAAAAGAGAGTGAGAAGGGGATATCGAGAATGAATTAGATAGTGAGAATGAGAGAGAGAGAGAGAGAGAGAGAGAGAGAGAGAGAGAGAAGGAAGTCATTGAAAATGACAACACAATATGTGCACATTGTAAATTGTTTACATACTCCAAACTGAAAAAAGGGTAGCATACAGGGAAATCATTTTCACGTTGAATTACCAAAGCAATAATATAATGAATCAAAAAATATGATAGATATTGCTATAATTTAGAAAATTTGAAGAACAAATATTGAATATACTATTTCTTAATATCATCAAACAAAATATAAGCAAATGAAAATACTGTTTACAATTTTATAAGCGATACTTAGATATGTACAAGTATAAGAAAATATGTCACACAAGAATCAATATAAAATATATGTCATTTGCAAAAGTATTAATGTTGACAGTAATCCAGTAAAAAATAATGCACAAATCTAAATTTAAATCTGAAATATTAGCTCCTTTAAAATCATATCCAGCCCTCAACATTATGATGACGCCGATTTGATTTTAAAGATGCCAAAAACTTAAATTCCATGAAAAATCCTGGAAAAAAGGAATACTAATTGTTTAATGATAATGATTTTATGTTCTATGAGAGTCAAATTGGCAACTCGGTCATGGAGAAATGAGTTACCGCAGGATATTTTATCCTAATTTTTGCAAATGTGTCCAACTTGCCATTGATGAATCATAAAAGAGAAATCAACACTCAAAATTAATTTTCAAACTACATAAATATCTATTCCAATACAAAACAGAAATAAAGTACTCCTGATTGATTGATTGTGTTTGTAAATAAAACATTTCAGTCTTCTGCCTTCCAATGAGATTTGAATCGACAGTGATGTAATTAAGATGGTTACGTAATATCACATTTAAGATAGTTATGTAACAATACCAGGAAAAAGCTGGAGTTGGCACAAATGTTTATTCTTTTTGTTTATTACATCATCGCTTTAATAAACTCCTGAAGTCAACTGTGAAGAGTTGCCAGACAAAGGTCGTACCAAATGAAGCCGGAATAGTTAACAAATTATCCAATTCAATATATTTACAGCTCCGCCTTAAAATAATAGGCAATTTGAAAGTGATTTTTTTTTTCATTTTCTATATATGACTAGCACTGTATTTCAAAAGGTATTCAAACATTTTTGATGTTTGTTGTTTTACCTGACTGCTAAGAAAGCATTTTTATGCTTGCAAGTAAGTAACTAATAACCAGGGGAATGATGGCTTTAAGTCCTCTCAAAGGGACTTGGTAATGACAGTTGATGCCTTACCAAAGGGCATGGGGGCATTGACTTAGTTCCTAATGCAGGACCTCCTGGTTACGAGACCAATATGCTCTACCAATGAGCTATCGCGCCTCCATCATAAACATGAATACATAATCACAGTCTAAAAATTGCAGGTACAGTGTATGTTACAATAATATGAAAAAGGAGGGGATAATCTTTTACTTGAATTTATCCAAGGTGGTATGTAACATGATTTCTGCAGGGCAGTGTACCAGCATGCACTGTTGTTGTGGCTTGGGATCTGGATGCGTGTCATTTACAATCAGAGCTGCTATGTCAGTCAAAGCAACAGCAACAACACCAACAGTGGCATAATACGTCATGGTGGTAGATTGCAAGCACAAACCATTTTCTGTCATAGTGTGCAACAGTGTCTTCACTGTGAGACTAGGCTGACTGCATACTGCATAGGCTCTGTACTTTAGCTTTTCTGGACACAGCCAGAGACCGATTGAACTAGGCTCTGCTCAAGGCTTTAAGAATTATGGTTGAAGTATCAAATTATAGTCTGTGCTTGTAGACTAGCACAAAACAATAGAAATCATGTTGTATGGGGCAACTCTACTCCTGAGACCTTTAAACAACACTGTGATTTACATTACCTCTATATGTACTTTTTATAAATATTATAGGGGGGGGGGGGGGTGGGTAGGCAGAGCTTTATATACATATATACTATATATACTATATAATCATACGTAATACTTAACTGCATTGCACAATGAAATGGAAGACCAAATAGAAATTACCACCTAAATCTACAAACCAAGATTACACAATTTATAAGCAACAACAATGATACAAATCCCAGGCCAGGCCATGTGTACAATGCACTGCATACCTTTTCGCATGAACTGAATAAATAATCCCAACAGAGATGCATTATACTTTGAAAAAGAAGGCAACTCTGTTTCGTTTGTAGTACTCCAGCAAAATTTGGCATCGTAAAAATAAGCCATGCATATAATGCTTACCTACAGGAGTAAATGGGTACCTGATATGCTTGAGCGCTAGTTACTTTGGCAGCTCAGCTACAACCAGGGTAATATGTGTAATGCGCCATGAGCGTCAGAGCCTGACGGATACCAGCGCTATATAAATAACCCTATTATTATGTATAAAGTATGTAGGAGTACAATATGTTGGTTTAAATGTACATTAATGAACTTCCTTGTATTATATCATTTACACAACATCACCAAAATAAAAAAACAAATAAGGATTGCTTGTTATCAATATGCATGTCATTGTAAAACAGGGATGATTTTGCATTTGATTTAAGCAGTAGGCCTACTAAATGGTACATGAGTTGTGATTTCCTAACAAATAAACTACATGTACATGTACATTTAAGATGAGTTACTGGTTTGAAACTGCAAAATGGCAGTTAAGAATAATATATAACACACAAAGAGATATTTGCACAAGCACCAACGAATATTATTATGAGTAAAAAAAAAAAAAATACACTGAATGAAAGAAGACCTCTCACTAAACTATTTTCATGAATTCTACTACAGGTGACTGCTTTAAAGGTAAAGACCAGTATTGGAAACGCCCCCCTCTCAAAAAATGAAATGGAAGCTCTCATTACCAATCATGTGAAAGAATATGTTTTGACTAATATATGATGATGATAACAAATTTGCCGGGAAACCGCCTACTAATTCATATATTTGGTAAATTTGTTTCTCTCATGTTCTGTGAGAGATATAGGGTAGTCCCATATACATCTTTCTGTGTATAGTGCTTGTAACTTTACGAAGAATGGGCCAAATTTCTTATCATTTTGATGATTCCAGAACCTTGCAGATGCTAGATGATCAACCTTTTCTGATCGATTCCACAACGTTTCTTTCACAATGCAATCCCATGACCATAACTGGTCTTTACCTTTAACAAATTACATACATGTACATGCAGTGTATTTTGAAAATTGTATATTTATGCAAATGGTTTGCGTGACAGTAATAGCTTTTGGTACAGAGTGAGTAAATTTGTTGTGCCCTTTCCAATTCTTCCTATTTGTGCTGTAATATCTACAGAAAAGTGGCCTTGCCCTAAAAATACTCTCATCCCAAATCTTGTTAACAGGTAGTACCTTACTACGTAGAAATTCTCAGGGAAGCTTTGCTATGCTGCAATTTAATAGTGATACTTTCTACTTTGTATATACATGTACTGTATGTGTAGGTGATTTGAAGATTGAACAGTAATTACATGAAGCTATTATCACAATCACTGTAAAAGAAAGATACTTCTATTCAAGAGGTGTAATACATACTTTCATGCAAATTTCAATCAAATTTTGAACGACACTTTTCTTTGAATTTCCCAAGCATAACACATGAAAAATCTGCACTAATTAATAATCAAAATCACATAACCTGTGCAAATATATGCACATCACTTGAATACATTGACAATCCTCCTATGACATTCCACACGCATTGTACTATTCCTTATTCATGAAAACACGTAAAATGAAACCAAATAAATTTATGGAATACCCTCAAAATGCAAGAGATTTTGGTCAGATTTTGATATGAAATAGTTTGCAAAAAAATGTGTGCATGTGAAAGAACACTTTCTACCGTAATTCAGATTAATATAGCCCCAAGAAGTTGTTATTACCGCTCATCTGCTTAATACAATAACTGAAGAAAATATGCAAAACACGCTCCGGTTAAGCAGGTACATACATTGTACATGTACATACTACATGCAGATCAGTACAAAATTCAATTAACTAGAACCAATGATACTTTTTCGTATACCAGCAACTTTGCAGCAAATACAAGAAGCATAATTCATGGACATGCACACAAGCTGTAAAGCTCAGCACCGAATACACGGCATGCATAGAAACACACGTTCATGTTAGCATCAAAATGAACGGGTAATGAATAAACTATGTCCCTACCACACTATGGTGACTTGTACATGAGGTGACATTTTTGACAGCTACTTGTACTAAAAATATATACATGTACAGTGAATGTAACGGTGATGCCATTTCCTTTTCTACATTTAGGGGCTCTTTTAATTTTTGTTGGTGGTCAAATCGCCCTCAGATCATGTTTATCATATCCTCACTATCCTGATTGTTACAACACAGAGATTAATAATTATATTTGCTTATATAGTGCCTAACACTTACTTTATCAGTAGTCTCTAAGCGCTCTACAATAATGCAGCATAATTACCCTGGCTTTAGCAGTGCAGCTGTTACGCGCGCTGCGTTTCAAGGAATAAATTCCTACCAGGTACCCATTTTATTCACCTGGGTGGAGTGTGGCAAATGTAGATCAATGTCTTGCCAAAGGACATTAGTGCGGCGGTGGAACTCGAACCGCGGGCCTTGTGATCGACAGTCCGGCGACGTATCCACTCGACCACAACACCTCTATATCCAAAACTTGTTTGAAAATGTAAAATTTTGACACCATTGTAAGGTCTGTTTGTAAAAATGTTGCTTGTTGCCTCACACACCCATGAACATAGCAAATGATATCATTGTAAAGACAATATTTCCAAAACAATGGCTCCAACATTACCCCATGTGCATCAAGGAGAAGGGATATTAGATCTAATAATATATAGACAGTTTTCAAGCAGGTTGGGATCATGTAGTGCAATTTTAAGATCAATTGCATCCAGTTAACCAATGTTTTGAATAAAATAAGGACATTCCTCCACCAAACAGTATTCAGATACGAGAGCGCAGTTTCAGAACAATTTGACAGCTGTCAGTACGTATGTTTTAGCATACCACTTATCTTTCTTTCTAGGGTTCTTGATTATGCTCTCATGAAGTGAAATTGTAAGATCAATTGCATCCAGTTAACCAATGTTTTGAATAAAATAACGACATTCCTCCACCAAAATGTCTTTGGAAATTACATGTAGATTGCAGTTTGACAATTTGACAGCTGTCAGTACTTATGTTTTAGCATACCACTTATCTTCCTGGGGTTCTTGATTATGCTCTTGAGCCACTTCCGCATTCTCTGGAGTGCCCAAGATGGAAGATCAAGGAAGCAGTTCACGCTCTGATCCCTGGGATGCGGGAGATCATGGTCGGACAGACATCGTGTCAGGGTCACCAGGATGTCAAAGAAGCGTTCCGCCAGCATCTGTTCGTCCCACTCCGTCTCCTCGACACAGGTGATGTACATGATGGCTAAAAGGTGGGCGTTGGAGAGCACCTGCAGCTTGGAGTTGTTCACTCTCAGGACCTCCAAGATGGCTAGGCACTTCATCCTGCATCCTCCGTCTGAGCCGTCAAGCTCATGCAACATCTCAAGCACAAACTCGTTGAAGCACCACATCCACAGATTAGTATCCGGACGAAGATTAAGCTCCATACTTTCCACCTCATCATATTCATCGTCCTCCATCGTGCAGGAAGTACGGGGAGAGAACGGCGAAGATGTCAGGGTCACCAGCATGGGACCGATTTTGGCATCGATTTTGGCCTCGACGGTCACACTTGGTTCTTCTCCAGGAGACTGCTTGCAGAATTCGTTGATACTGCTACCTAGAAGTCTCTGCAGATGTCGAAGGACGTATGCCGGGCAGAGGTAGTTTCCTACCAAGAACTGGTCCCAAGGATCCTGGCCTTTTGGGATGAAGTCTAGATTTATTCGCCTCACCAGGAAGTACCCGGGTGCCTTCATAACAGAGTGTCGAGCATCCTCATACTCCCATGTGTGGGGGTTCATCTCAATGGGGAGGACGAGTAACTTGGTGGACGCATCGTAGGCTTTGACGATGGTCACCTGGGACCGGTCCCCAGCGAAGAAGGCATTCTGAATGGGGAGGTTCTTTCCGTGTTGTCTCACAAACTTCATGAAGAATGTTTTAAATGGTTTCAGTTCCTCTCTTTCCGCTTGCTGCCTCTCTTCATTTGGAAGGACATAGCTGGTGTAGTAGTTCTCCAACCTTGTCTTGAGAGGCACTCCATTCGTATTTGGAGTATCCGAGGTGACGGGTGCTGCTCGTCGAACATTTGCATGTTCCTGAGCAGCAGCTTCTTCGTAATCGTCGGAATCCACCTCCTCGTAATCCGACCAATCACAGGGTCGGCAACCAGACACGCAGGGTTCCTTCTCCTCTCCTTCCCCCTCGTCATTGGAGCTCTCTCCCTGAGCGGAGGAAGATGCTGCCATCCTCTCTTGCTGACCATGACGCTGGAGCGCTCGGGCATTATCTTTTTCCCTCTGCAGCGATGCTTTGTAAGCCTCTGCAGCAATGATGGCACTGGCTGAGAGAACACCTAGTCCGGCTGCAGCCTTAAGCCCCATTGTCCACCAGGAATCTCTCTCCGGGGCGTTATGTCTCCCTCTGTTGTTAAAAGCCATCGAGAACTGCTACACCTGCACAAAAAGAACATGTTCATATTTGAAGATCATTATGGTATTTGGTTTCTCTACTCATTGTGTTTCATCTCTCTAAAGTTGTTAACATTTTTTTTAATGGGTTTTAAAAAAACGTCATGGTAGACTTCTAACTGAAGTTTAAGCAATTAAAACTAGTAACAAGTATGATTGTGTGACCAAAGTTTGCACATGACCTTGATTCGCTGATAGTTTCATACCTAAAAAAAGTGATAAGGTTTAGAAAATCTGATAGTCTACAACAATGGAAAGAGGGACCTAACAAATTAAGATTAGGCCATGTAAAATTGATTACATGTTGATCGTCCGGATTTTTTGAAAAAGAGGAGGAGGGTGTACCATGTTATATGATATTTGATATTTCAAAATGGCCGCTCAAAATGGCCGCTCGGTACATTTTCCCTGACAGTCGAGGCTATTTTTTTTCAAGATGGCCGCCGACAATTTTTTTTTTTTTAAATCAGAAATAGAGCCATTTTAGCAGTGTTTTTCATGTTTTTTTTCTTTCAAAAAAAAAAAAAAATAACAAATAACAAAAAATAGGAGGCGGCCCCCAAAAAGGAAGCGGGCGGGGACGATCAACATGAAATCAATTTTACATGGCCTTACCCAGCGACTCAATTTTCTTTGAAATTGGGTGAGAATTCTGAAAATATCAACAACAGAATCAGCGGTTTTTGCAGCGTTTTGCGTCCATTCGTAAAATATATGAACTTACCAACAAAGGGTCTGGAAATTTTCTAGTTGCACTAGACTTTATTTTGTAGTCTAAAATTGTGCTGTTCGTTTGGACATTATTATAACGGTAGGGCCTAGATCTATACATTTGTGTTAATATTATATGAGAAATCATTCATGGATCACATATCACATTCCTAATTATTTTTTAATGTGTGCCAATTGAATTACTTTGCACACCCCATCATAATATTATTAATATTTTTATCAACATTTGTTTGTTCTTTTTGTCTTTTTGTCTGCCAAAATGCCGTGTCTGGACAGGTTGCTCATCCAGATAGTTGATTGGAATCCCCCCTCGTCTTACTCATCACAACATCATGGTCATGCAGTGGACATTCCTCCATATCACTCTTAAAATAATTGATAAGCAGCCAACATAATGTAGAGTCTAACTACCACTCAGTACCAGCTCACAAGGCTCACATAGTGCACAGTCACATTCACTTACTTTCAGTTCGCTACAGCTACAGGAGACACGAGACAATTAAGTCTCAATAGCCAAGACACAAGTCAAGAGACGTGCGAAAGTACGACTACGACTACGAGTAGGCCTAGGTCTATACCTACGGCTACGTGTACGAGATTCGGTCTTCAAACTCCAAATCCAAAGGATGCTTCAAATCTACAGTAAAGAACAACAATCAATGCGTGACTAGTCACTAGAACCTGAGCTGCGTTCGAATGTAAATCCTCGTCAAAATAAGAGGCCTGACACTTGACCTAATTTGCACATGAACTTTCCTTTCACGTCACGGAATCGATATGATGCTGGCTATAGCGCTATAGAAAGTTGCTGCTCGCGCTCCCAGCGGCTGCATTTTATTTGTGTACACAACAACATAGGGGCGGAGATCAGCAGACCTTGGTATTTCGCACGCGCAAGCTTAAATAGTCTTTGTTAAAGTCATATCATTTTTATGTGATTCTTAAAATCACAAAAACAAGAACAAAAGATGTCTAAACCATAAATCGCATGACCGACCAGAACTGGTCAATACCTTTAACTAATTAGCACATGCACGGTGCAACTTCATTAGTTGGCAAATGCTAGCGGCTTCAGTTACAAGTTAAAAACAATACATTGTTGGAGATGCCCCCCCCCCCCCCCAAAAAGAAATAGACAGTCTAAATATTTTTTTTATAATCATGATTATCTTTCAAGAAAAAATAGAAAAGTCTATACACAGCTGTGCTCTAAAAAATGAAGAAAAATGTTCTGATTAACATTTCCTATATCTAACCTTAGGCCTTGATATATATATATATATATATATATATATATATATATATATATATATATATATATATATATATATATATATATATATATATATATATCTAGGCCTAATAGGCTAGATAATAGTCTAGTTAATGTTTATCAGATCCCCCCCCCCCCCCCCCCATTTTTTAGAGCACGTACAGCTGTGTTTAGACTTTTAGTGATCCATAAAACTGTTTTATTTAATTGTCATAGACTTTTTGGTCTTTACCCGGCCGCCCCCCCCCCCTCCCCTGCTAGAAAACACTGGATCCGCCCCTGGACTTTAGGGCTTTAGATAAGTTGCACAGGCGTTTCAAAACGAACAAAAGTGATTTTACTTTGTGAAAAAGTTGACGTCTGACAATAAGACTATGAGACTTACCATTGTTTTTTTGTCAGGTGATATGATTGATGCAAAGATTGCAAACCCGTGATCTAGAGGACTTGTGTAACCTGAATTCTGAAATGATCTTTTGAATTTGAGTGAACATACACTGGCTATACCATACTGCACTGCACTAGCTGCACTGGCCAAGAACTTTGTAAGTAGATGTAGAAGTATTGCGCATTTAAGTCCAGCTTGTTACTTTTAGGTAGGCCTAGGCTAGCTAGGTCTACATTTAATTGATTCACTCTGCATGCCATGTCACTAACTTAACTAACTTTTAAACAAAAAAGAAAGAAGTTTAGTCTTTGTCCTTACAAACTACAAAGTAAAAGGAAAGGCCAAACTTTATTTTTCGCACATTATAGTCTACTCTATATTGGTCGACATGTAGGCTGGGAGCTCACAGTGCATTAGGAAAAGGTATTGCATGTGTATGAAATAAATGAGAGAAAACAAAATAATCTAGAGGTCTAGATCTACTTTGAGTTCAATTGATAGATCTATATCAACTCAATACTGATCAATAAATTTATAGGCCACCTCATATTCAGCAACAAGAGGTGTTCATTTTGTAGTTTTGTATCTCATACTGTGTGTTCTGATAATAAAATTACGTAACATTGTCACTAGGCCTATAGTGTAAAATATTTGCCAGCAAGCTTTACCTGCTTACTAAATAAAGAAATGGTGAAGGTAATATATTAGACTAATATATGTTCAAGATGCTGATAGTGGTGGTTATTTTACCTGATTGCTAAGAAAGCAATAAATGCTTGTTAGACCCCATTCTCACTCACTTTGAAAGTGGTCTTAGACCGCTCCAGACCGCTCCAGAGGAACGGGTCTTGAGGAACGGTTTGCGAGCGTTCACACTCCGAGCAGTTTTTATGGCTCAAACCGCTCCACGAGTCAAAGTGGTCTTGTTGCTTGTTGCTTGTTGCCGCGCGCGGAATCCAAACCGTATGTACCGTACTACATGTTTCGCACCGAAGGTCACTAGCTCACTTCCGTTCAAAGTACGCTTTCTGTTCACATTGCACGTTAGAGCGCTCTGGAGCGCTCTTAATAAGACCCGCTCCTCAAGACCACCTCGGAAGGTGGACTTCTGGAGCGGTCCAGAAGTCCGCTTCCTGGACCACTTTGAGCGTTCTCACTCACCTAAGAACCTAAGGGTCTTAGTTAGAGCGCTCCAGAGAGCTCCAACGAAGTGAGTGAGAACGGGGTCTTAGTAAGCAACCAGAAGACCGACGGCTTTAGGTCCTCTCTGAGGGACCTGGTAATGAGGATTAATGTCTTACCAAAGGTCACCAGCGCATCGACTTGGTTTCGAAACCGGGTCATCGAATTACGAGACCACTGCTCTACCGACTGTGCTATCGCGCGTCTGATACACTTTTTTTGTTCTACTTCACTCACTTCACTCACTTCACTCAGCTCACAACCAATATCTTGTATTTCCTTTCCTTTTCAGTATACATGTACAGTATACAGCACAAACTGTGTCAAGGTTGAAGTGGATTCAGACGGAGCACAAAGAATGAAAGATGGCGAATAAATTCAGAATGCTCAGGATATTAACAGCTTTCCTTGTTTTGGTCCTTGTCAACCTTTCCACAGGTAAACTGCCATATTTTGTGTCTTCTAACTTTTAAACCAATATGTTCAAAATCATTGTTATAAAGTCGATCTAGCGAAGCTAGGTTAATGTGGATGATGACAATGGAATTAAATTTTCCTTTGAAATTAATTCTTCCTCTAGAGATATGTTTTGGTTTAAGAATGTTTAATTCCCTGATTATTATTAAAATAGAAAGATTAGTTTGTATTTTATTTCACTGGAATATTTCAGAGATCTCATTTCTCACACTCAAGTCAGTAAACTATCCAAATATTATTCAGACAAATTTTCCTTTCATTTCTTAATCCATATTAGACCAAATGGATATTACCTGATAGGCACGTAACTTCGCAATTGGAATTATACCACATGGAAAGAAAAAAAAATGAATGAACGTGCACAGTACACAATGTCAAGTGGACTTATCAAAGTTAGGCAAAACAACAAGTGACCCACTTTCCTACTGGATTTTATATTTTATTCTACTTTGTGTGTATGTCTGCTTGTTTTATTGTTTTCATTGTAATGATCATTTTTGCAATTGCAGGAGAGTTACTGCAAGGTACCGTATACAAGCACGAAGATGGAACTTTCACGGTCAGTTCCGGCATCATCGACAAACAAGGGGCCGCGTACGGCTCCTACAACAACACCCTCTTCCAGACCGGATGGGGAGAGCTGCACCTGTTCGCCGGGTACTCAACGGGGAACAACGGCGCCCTCTCTGACGTTGACAGAATGTACGCAGCAGGCATCTTGGAAGGAGCTTTGACGGCCAAGTAAGTGATTAAATGTCTCTTTGGAGCAGTTTGTTTTTTGTCTGTTGTTAATTTATTTAAAGGCATCATTTAACAATGTTAAATCTGAGATGCACGGCCCCATGTGTTATCAGTGTCTGTGATATGGTTTTTGAATCCCTAAATAAATTGCACTTCAAATTGATCAAGAAGTGCCTCAAAACAGTAAAAATCTTTGAGTGACTGGTTTTACCATACTCGTTTTCCACAATAGACTGTAATGTTTTGAAAACCGTTAGATTTCTAATCATAAATATCTTGATAATCAGACAGGCGATCGGCTTGTAAAATTTATGGGTTCCTGACTGACCTGAAGGTTTATAATTATCATTGCAACATGAGCTAAATCCAGGATTTTGTTTCAGAATCTGAGACAAAGTTACTCAATCCCTTTAAAGCTACATGTAGGATGCACCGGTAATGTAGAAAGTAGCAGTTTATTTTCCTTTTTGTATTTTTATGATGCCATGCCTTGTTTAATCTCATACTCCAAGGGGAACACAGAAAGACAGAAGAATGACCAGTTTGTATAATGTTTGTGAAGTGGTAAGTCACTTTAATGAAGTGGCACAAAAGCACTTGCTCTTGTAATAGGTTTTAATTGGTAATTAAAACTACTGTTGAAAACACCTTGTTTTGGCATTAGTTAATTGTTCATACAGTTTTGAAAGCTGCAAGATAAGAGTGCCTCCATTGATCTGTGCAAGCTTATTCTAGTTTCAATGAGTAATTAATTGGAAACTCTTTATTGTTCAAAGTATGCATGTAAACCGTCAATGAAATATAATAAAATTTATCAAATTAAAGGAAAATTAATATTCTACCAACATCAATTTAGATCAAGCTTCGAACTTTCATGCATGGATGCATGGGCACATTTATTCTACCATTAGAAGATCTGACTAAAGATAATTTCAAAATAGAGCAAGTAGCGCCATTCACATTGGTTATGTACATGTGCAGCCGTGAGATATTCTTGTTCAACATTAAAAAAAAGAATGAGGAGGATTGAGCTCTGGATGTCAACTGTGTAGTCTCAGCCACTCTCAGGACTGCATTGTTTTGACAAGCACAGTCAAGAATCAAAATGCCTTCCTTTTGCATGTCTTGCGATTGCCTTTCGTTTTAATTGTTTCGATTTGACGTGTCTACAAGATGGAAATGCTAATCAACATTGGAATGGCCAGATGCCCCATTTTTATTCAGAGACTCACACATTGTAAAAATGACTTCATATGCTCACTCATGAATTGTATGATTCCGATTGCATATGATCTTTGAGGAGTAACTAATGATTATTATGAAGATAAATTTGTATCAAATATTTATTTGAGAAAATATTGGTTATATAGATTGTCCATTTTCATTTTTTGTTGCTAATAGTATTAGCCTACCGACTTCCACGGGTATACAAATCATTTATGAAATATTTGTTTGTGTTCATTATAATGATACTATGTAGACACATGTTGTATGGGATACTGCTATGCTATGTACAGATGCCCTGTATGACAATAACCCTAATCTGCATTTATTTCACTTTGAAACAATGACCACTTTAAAAACGTCCATTGATTGACATTGCTCTTCGCCATTACTGAATTGATTATTTCCGGCTTTTTTGCAATACCTGAACTCTATTTGTCAATTATTGGTACACGTACGTGTATGCTTGAAACATGTCTAAATGTACATTTCTCGTCATTTGGACATGCTTTGTCTTTCAAGGCAGATTTCCCAGACCCTGCGGAACATCAATGTAACCTTCTTCAGCTCCGATTAACATTTCTTTCTGGTTTCATTATAATAAAAATTTCATTATTCAATTATTTGAACATGTACAATTACGGCTGAAACATTTCTAAATTCCCATTTCTCATCTCTTGAATATGCTTTGTCTTTTAAGGCAGATTTCCCAGACCCTGCGGAACATCAATGTAACCTTCTTCAGCTCTGATTAACATTTCTTTCTGGTATCATTATAATAAAGATTTCATTATTCAATTATTTGAACATGTACAGTTACGCTTGAAACATTTCTAAACGCCCATTTCTCGTCATTTGGACATGCTTTGTCTTTCAAGGCAGATTTCCCAGACCTTGCAGAACATCAATGTAACCTTCTTCAGTGCCGAAGGCGACCCAGAGATCTGGAGGAGGGTCGCAGACTTCTTCGAGACCCAAGACGCCTGGATGAAGGGGATGATTATAGAGAGGGCCGACGAGGACCCCTTCTGGGAGGGCGTGGGCCTGGTTCTCGCCCAGTTTGAGGGCCTGATAAAGGGGTATGAGATGAGCCAATTCTCCAACGCGTCTACGGTAGGTTTCAGTCTCCTATCGATCTTCAGGGACACTTTGTTTTGTTTGGAGATCCAAATATGATTGTTTGTTCTGCGTGTGTTGTAAACACATTCACATTGCAGACCTTGAGTATAAGTCATTGTATGTCACAAAGAGCACCACAGTCTTGAACTATTGTCATTTTTTAGAGTGTATATAATTTTTCAGAAAGTTTTCCTACATTTAACAACTCTGAATGACTTGTTTTGTTGACAGTACCTCATCAAATACACATCTGTTAAAAGAATTCAAGGCTGCCTTTCATACTATCAATATTTGATAACCTCCACAATGGTTAGAGGGATTGGGTAACTTTGTCTTCGATTCTGAAACAAAATGCTGGATTTAGCTCATGCTGCAATGATAATTATAAACCTTTAGGTCAGTCAGGAACCCCATGACTTTTACAAGCTGATCACCTGTCTAATTATCAAGATATTTATGATTGGAATTCAAAATCAAATTTTGCGTTTTCTTAACGGTTTTCATAACACTACAGTCTATTGGGGAAAACGAGTACGGTAAAACCAGTCACTCAAAGATTTTTACCTTTTTGAGGCACTTCTTGATCATTTTGAAGCGCAATTTTTTAGGGCTTCAATATTACACCATATCACAGACACTGATAACATGTAGGGCTGTGCATCTCAGATTTAACATTGTTAAACGATGCCTTTAATGTCATGCCTTTATCCTCTGCAGTCCAATGGTTTCTTGGCCATGCAAGTCTTGAATTCCTGTGGGGATCTCCTGGACCTCAAGAGTGCCGTCATGCCATCCCTGATCCCCGACTGGGACAAGCTCACCAAGAAAGAGTTTCTCAAGTTCATTCGCACCTCGGGACATTGTTCAGCACTTGTCAAGGTAGATTAACTTGCTTCTCTAATCATTAATCAGCATTTGTGAAGGCTCGATCTTGTGGGTATAGATTTTTTCGCAACTCAGACCATCGATGAGGAACTAGATTTTAATAAAGGTTAATTATAGGTGTAGATTTGTGCAGCACTTGTCAAGGTTGGTAGGTTTGCACCTCCCTTTCAATCTTTATTGTATTCAATTTCTGTACAGTTATACTGTTGTAATACTTTCCCAGGACAACTACCCCCCCTAGAATATTAGTCCGGGGGGTAGTTGTCCTAAAGGATGGTTGTCGTAGGGGGTAGTTGTCTGGGGGGTAGTTGTCCGGGGGTATATGTCCTAGGGGGTTGCTTTCCTAGGGGGTCGTTGTCTGGGAGGTAGTTGTCCGGGGGGGGGGGGGGGGGGGGGGGGGTGTTGTCCTGGGGGTGGTTATCCGGGGGTGGATGTCCGGGGGTAGGTGTTCTAGAACCCATCGTAACATTTCAAGTTTAGATGTTTTTAAAATGCCCTCAAAACTCATCTTTTAAAACTTGCTTTCCTGTAAATCTACTTGTATATTCTAATTTATACTATTGCAATTCTTGTGTTCCTATTTTTCTTTTGCGCCTTGAGCACATTATTTGTGTTAAATTGGTGCAAAATGATAAAATACTCTATTATTGTTATTATTATGTGCATGTTACCCTGTGATTTTTACAGGTACTGCCAGCCTTTGAAGACGTCTTCATGTCTCACTCGAGCTGGTTTACCTACAGCGCTACCCTCAGGATCTACAAGCATTATCATTTCAAGCTTGACTTTGAAGGAAATGCTGCCGAAGTGACTTCGTTCTCCAGCTACCCAGGTAGATATTTCTTCTCATGATAACACACTGCTACTACCCATCCTCTCCAACCGGCGCTATAGTTCTCCTTAGAACTATAAGCTGAGAAAGATAACCAACAGTCTTTTTCAAGACTACCAACAGTCCTTTTCAAGACTACCAACAGTCCTTTTCAGGACTACACACACTCAAGAAAGAAATATTACAGAAAGTCCTTTCCAGGCCTCCCCCATCCTCCCCCTCTGTCTCATAGTGCAACCGCCAGCCTACTGTATACACTGAATGATATGTTTCATAATCCTTTCAAGAAGACTCTTTCCGTTGGATTCGGTCGCTGGAAATGTCCTGGGCCAAATTCCTACATCAGGTTGTCAGTGTAGTTTGCGGTTGCATGTGTCGGATTCACCTACACTATATGATGATAGTATTCATTGTGTTAATTAACGATTAATTACCATTGTTGTACCGACTCTTATTTAAAGGAAATATCCCCAGAACAGAGTCCTATTTTAAAAGTCAGGCGATTCTCAAACTAAATAGTCCCTCCTGCCAATTATTTGGAATTGAAGGTGATGGGGGGGGGGGGGAGGGGGGTGAAGACCTCAACTGGGAGGTCGTGGGTTCGAACCCCGCGACCCGCGTAAAAGGTCAAAGGTCACAGGGCTAATTATGTATGCAAAAATAGCTTGTGATCGCCTTATCTCAAGATTCCTGCCAAACTTGGGTCATTTACCGTATGTATCTTGCAGAGCTGATGAACTGATTAGATTTTGGGGTCACGAGGTCAAAGGTCCATCTAGTTTGTTTTTATTTACATCGCTTTCCTTTTGCAGGGTTCCTGGAATCTCTGGATGACTTCTACATCATGAGCAGCGGCCTCTCCATGCTGCAGACCACCAACAACATCTTCAACAAGACACTCTACAAGTACGTCAAGCCCCAATCCCTGTTGGCATGGCAACGGGTCCGTGTTGCCAACATGATGGCCAGAAGCGGCAAGGATTGGGCTCGCATCGTAGCCAGATACAACTCAGGTAATGCATGGGTAATGAAGTGTTTGAGTGAAAAAGTCCCTAGGTTTTTTCTAATTTATCTCAATCTACATATATGATTAAAGAGAGTGTATATTGTCATCAAAGAAAAACGGAATGGACATTGATGACTCCATTTATTGGAATCAAGGTGTACATATCATTAAATAGGGGAAAAAGTAAAAACTTTTCAGAGTTGTCTAAAATTCTATCAAAGTTTATGTGATATTCTTTTATTTATCTCTCACTTTTTTGAGGTCCTACATTTGTTTAATTTGTAAAAAATGTTTGCCTGCACCTCTTTTAAGAATAAACTCATGCATTTTAGATTTCCCCTTTTTAAGGGAACAAGATTTTGAAATTTAGACAAGAAAAAGAGGATTGTTTGAATATATTTAATCAGTGGGGTGATAAACCTCTTAGATTAAACTTCAGATGATTTTTTCTTCTTCATAATTTTGAAGATAAGGAACAGTTTAATTGTCTGTTAAACCTATGTAATGCATATATGCTATGAAGATATTGCTGCAAGCAACCTGTATAAGGAAAGTTGTTATCTCTAATTATGTTAAATCTAATTCTTTCAAACAGTTAACTCTTTTTGATTTTATGTAAACATTTTTGTACCCCGCTGATGTGATGCTGGAAGGTACATGCAAATATCAGCTTCATAACAAGTTATGTTAGAGACAACAGAGGGGAAAACAAGTTCCTTTTTTATAATAAAAGTGGAAATTCTTAGGAAAGCATACTTCTAGTACAGAGATTTAATATAGACCAGGGCCCCGTCTTATAAAGAGTTGATAATCAATTGTAACTTATTTGCAATTGATATCAATCGCAACTATGTTCATAAGAGATAGGAGACTGCAAACTTGCGATTGATTTGGATCAATCCGCGTAGCTCTTTATAAGATTCCCTGGTCTGTTGTATGCAAAACAAATTCTATTTCATTTAATTTTGTCTTGACTTATCATTTATTTCAGGAACCTACAACAATCAGTACATGGTCATCGACAGAACCAAGATCAAACCCAATGTGGCCATCTTGGATGATGCATTGTGGGTGGTTGAACAGGTGCCGACGCTTGTAGCTTCAGGAGACCAAACCAACATTTTGAGAGCAGGTACGTGTGAACAGGTTTCACAATTTACAATTATTTAGTATCATCTCTGCATAGAAATTGTGTCTTGACAGGCAATCCTCTTCTTTTTATTTTTGAACCTCTGATATTGTACAGTTTGGCCAGAATGTTAACAAGGATTTTCAGATATGAAGCATTAGATTTATTTTCTTCACTAAGGAATTGAATATTTAAATTTGAATAGAGTATCATTATATACTGTAGTTTGTTTGGAGCCAGAAGGGCGTTAACTCATATACTTTAACACTTTGAAACTTGAACACATCCTTCTGGCTCTGAACTGATGATATAAGGCTGTCTTGAGGAGATTTTAAAATGTCAACTGTTAGACATATTTTAGTTATAATTTGTTTGAACCATAGAGATAAATACTGTTTACGGACACCTACATCATGGATTACCACTCCAGAATATCCCTCAACCCCCTCCTTCCCACTGACGAAGGTTAATTGTCTTGGACGAGAGTCTTGGCGTAGTTGTCATAGAATGATAGGCAGTTGAAAGAGGAAATCAATACCTAGCCTTCACTTCCTTTCTTGTCTCCATCTCATATTCTTCTCCTCCTCTTCTGCTCTTACGCATTCTCTCTCTCCTTTGCTCCTCTCTCCTCTACCTTTTTTTTTTTTTTATATCTCCCCATCCCCCTCTTCATGTATCTCTCACCCCCTCTCATTTTCTTGCTTTCTCTGTGTGTCTTTTCGTCTATTGATCTTTGTCCTGTCTCGTTAAATAATAACCAGGTTACTGGCCCTCCTACAACGTACCGTTCTATGAAGAGATATACAACATCAGCGGTTACCCGGAGTACGCCTATAAGGGTGGAGCAGATATTTCATATCAGCTTGCTCCTAGGGCAAAGATATTCAGGCGAGACCAAGGAAATGTGGTCGATATGGAGTCCTTCAAGAAGATCATGAGGTTCAATGGTAAGTTTGAAAAATATTGCTTTAAAGCCCCACTGTACTACTTGTAGCTACTTGGTCCCCCATGATCCTCTTTTTCTTATGTTAATTGAGAGCTGAGTTGATGAGATAGCCACCTGTCAGTGATCACCCTGGGCGGTCTAATCCCTCCTGGGCAAACTAGTACAGACAGGCTTTAAGTATTTTCATAATGGAGGCTTCTTGTGCGGTGGTCATTTCCAGTTTGCTGTTCGTTTGTTGCTATTAATCCACCACTGTAATTACCCCAATCAAAGCTGAGCGGCCCATTATATAACATTCAATCATGGACCCATTTACACCTGGGTGAAGAGTGGCATATGTGGATTAATGTCTTGCCAAAGGATGTCAGTGCCAGGCTCAGTGCCACTATTCCACAACTCCTCCACTAGCTTTGATTAAACCTTAATGATGGGTAATATATGTGGTTGAATTGTGCAAAAATCTGTCTAAAATTCTTGAATTTTTTTGAAGGATTGAAGGCAGGGCATAGTCAAGTATGCAAGTAGTCAGAATCATTAACACGTTAATGATTAAGCTTTCTCATTCAAAGAGTGAAAAGCAAGACCTGATTTCTATCGGTGAAAAGAAAAAAATTATTTAATAACTTGAATATTTCTTTCATTTTCAGTATGACTTTGAGTGTAGGAATCACTGCAAGGGTAGATAACATGTCATATATTCAAGCCCTATCTTTACTATTGTCATGAACTGCAAACTTTGCAAAAGGTTTCTTGGTGACAAGTCACATTTTATAATTGCTACAGTCAATTAAAACAGAAAATGAAATATCTGAAAAAGGGAATGTGTGACAAATTTAGCTCTAATGGAGATTTTATATCACCTGGGGGGTGTTTCACAAAGGTCCTAAGTTGAATTTATCTCTAAGTTGGACTTCAAATTTATGGAAAGCCATTAGCATCTTTGTAAGTATGTTGTAAAAGTTATTTTAAAAAGGCATAAAATGTTGATTGAAATCATTCATGTTTTTTATTATCAGATTTCATGTTCTTGATGTTCTGAAATTTATGAAAAATCTAAAATACTTGAATTTTTGCTGTTTAATATATTTTATTTTAAGGCTACAAATGGCTCTCCATAATGTTTATGTCCAACTTAGGGTTAAGTTTGACTTGGGATCTTAGTGAAACACATCCCTGTATTTCATGTTTCGCTCCTAGATTACAAGAATGATCCCTACTCGGAGGGAGATCCGTCCAAATCCATCTGCATGCGTGGTGACCTCATGACCTCTCCTATGCCAAATGGTTGCTATGACACCAAGGTAAACATTGGCTTTTAAGTTTGATACTTTTAAGAATGAAGAAAGGCGTACAATCATTGAAAAATAATACAGCCTTGGAGGAGAATGGAAAGAGTTGGAGTTGGTTTGAAGACTGTTTGGTAGTGTTATATTTGCTTGGGGCTGGATATTGTCAAAAATATAGGGTTAAAGAAAAGGTTGAGTTCTGGGAAGAGGTGAAACGTATTTTGTGAGCGTTATGATTGCATTATGCAAGTGTGGAAGAACATCAGATAAAAAATGTTTCCTGAAAAGCATGGCTCTTCAAATGCCTTAATATTCTAAATATGGCATGTCAAATCATAAAAATCAGGACAGATTTTTATGCCACGTGTTCTTGTAGTCCCATGTACATCTTTCTGTGTACAGTGATTGTAATTTTACCAAGAGTTCTTATCATTTTGATGATTCCAGAACCTTGCAGTACACACCAATACTTATATGCTGGACGATCAACCTTTTCTGATCGATTCCACAACGTTTCTTTTACAATGCAATACCATGACCAGAAATCAACCTTCTCTTTAAAGTTAGGATTTAGTATAGTGTTGGGTTGGGGGATGAAGTCAAGGATTTCCCAAGTGTAGGAAATCGACTGATGTTGTTCCCAGAGCATGTCATTAAGGTACAACTATATTTTTTGGCATTGACATATATAGATAGATTGTGTAAATTCCAACCACAGGAAGTTTTTGAATTTGATTTTAGGAGTGTGAAGATATCTAAAATTACCTTTTGTAAAAGTACCTTTAATTTCACAACTTATTATTTTTTGTTCACCTTTTTTTGCAAGTTTATCTGCAAATGTATGATTAAAGACTAGTGAAAAAAAGTCGTTTTGGCAGATGGCAATTGGCGATTCAGTCAAATTAATTCAGTTTATTCCCCATCATTTTTTTTCTCTCATCCGTTACTAAACTTATATGAAGTGTTTCTAAACTTATATGAAGAATTTCTAAACTTGTATGAAGTATTTCTAAACTTGTATGAAGTATTTCTAAACTTGTATGAAGTATTTCTAAACTTGTATGAAGTATTTCTAAACTTGTATGAAGTATTTCTTAACTTATATGAAGTATTTCTGAACTTATATGAAACTCCTTGTCTTCCTTCAGGTGACCAACCTAGCAATGGCGGCCAAGCAGACGAGTTACGTCATCAATGGGCCGACCCGAGGAGATGGAAGCCTTCCCCCGTTCAAGTGGGTCGCCCCCTTCACAGGCTGGTCTCACGTTGGACTTCCTCCGGTGTATGACTTTAACTTTGTGGAAATGTGTCCAAAGGAACTGTAGGGATGTTTCAGAAAAAGGGATAAATTTACCGGTTGAATTGGGAGGGAGGTAGGGGGAGGAGGGTGTCTGCTTTCCATTCTCTGCATTATGTGATATCAGTACTCGGTAATCACTTTGTCAAAGCAAATTTCAAATGGGTCACCCCTGTTAACACACTGGTCTCAAGTTGGACTTCCTGCACTGTATGACTTTAACTTTGTGGAAATGTGTCCAAAGGAGCTGTACGATTGCTTGATAAAAGGGATGACATTTTTTTCCCAGACATAATTGTTTTGGATTCTCAGTACTACATGTACTACCTTTTCAGGAAGGGGGTGCAAGAACTTGGAGGGGGTGGGGGGGGGGGGGGGGTGGGGGCATTCTCTGAGAAAATGTCAGATTTCTAACAACATGATGGAACTTTGTCATTGGGAAGAAAAATGTGGATGATGAATGAGGCACCTGGCATGTGCAGACTATGCAAGTGACTGAATTATGATATTATCGTGTAAATGAATACTCAAGACATATATTGCATTTTCCAAAATTGCTATGCTTATTATGAATACATATAGAAGCCTATTATTGCTACATTGGTACAAAAACAACTGAAAACTTACCTGTACAACTCCTCTTAAATTGTTGAAAGTCGAAGAGCAGCGCATTGTAACCTTTGGAAATGGCGCTATATAAATCCATTTATTATTATTATTATTATTATTATATCGTTATAATTTAATGTCTTTATTGCTCTCTCAGGTGAATGGTTTAATGAAGAAACAGTATTAAATGCCATCTATTTGAACATATATTTTTCATTGCATTGTATTTGGACAATTACTTAATTGCTGTGTTGTGAATCATGTTTATCTTATATTACAATTTATTGTCATGTACCCGAAAATGTGGACCCTTGTGATTGTTAAAGCCCCTCGGCACTATTTTTAGCTACCTGCGCCCTCTATATGGCAAACAATGCCTAATCGGTGCATGTTGGTCCCCAATGGTCCCCTTATTCTTATGTTAATTGAGAGCTGATTTGATGAGAGAACCACCTGTCAGTGACCATGCAGGGAGGTCTAATCCCTCCTGGCTTTCAAGGATCGTTGGTCGAATTTTGAGATTTCACAAACTACAACTGCCCCATGTGAATAGAGGTTAGGACCAGGGATGGTTTTGAAATACTAACTTGTACCATCAAAACTGAAAAAGTACACTTGAAATAGGTAGAGGCTGAATGCTATATGATATTCGAATAAGCAGATATTATATCCGTAGTGATATTGGACGGCCATTAAAGTGTTAGACAGTGGTTTTTTCATGTCTGAACAAGCCTTTGCAGGAATTTCTTTACTATTGTTTCTTTAGAAATCTTATCGATATGAGAGTGAATCAATGATATGTCTTTCAAATTGTATGTTGTTCATGTAAATATCATTGATATGTATATTCTTTTAAAAATTGACATTTTTTTGGGCCTCCTTTTTAATCATGAAATTTGAATTTTAACACGGACAATAAACATGTAAATCTGAAGTCATTGTTTTCTTATGCAAAATGCCACTTGTTAATTTGGTGACGCAATTTCTGTCCTTGTAATTGTAATGAATCGTGGATACAGTGCACTAATAAATGTCTTTAAGTGTAAAGTATGTTTATTGCAAATGTGCATGTTATGTAACTACAATATTTCACAATTAAATGTAACAATTATTTTCATACCAATATATATATGGATATCACGATCCATTTGTGTCTGGCCCGTTATATCTTTGATCTCTCTCCTGGTATCGACCTACTACTGACCAACTAGCCAACAGACGTGTAAATACTAATATAGTATTGGATGGCTTTGAGTGTGATACAAGAATATATTGCTCAAGCTATGACAATATTGTCATAGCGAGAGCGATATATTCTTGTATCACATGAAAACAAAGCCATACAATATTATTATCTATATCAGGCTGACTAGTGAAATAATACAATTTGACTTTTTAAATATGAAGTTTCCGGATGACGCAGCAATAAGAAAACAGTATTGATCTCACTATGAACATGACAGACAATGAAAGCGGACAAAATATACAGTTCCTCAGGTAGACAAAGGAACATCCCTTCACTGCTATTATGTAAAAATGTGTAGAACAGGTGAATATGCATGTGACACCTGTTCTACAGATTTTTACATAATAGCAGTGAAGGGATGTCCCTTTGTCTACCTGAGGAACTGTATATTTTGTCCGCTTTCATTGTCTGTCATGTTCATAGTGTCTGTCATCCGGGTACTGCGCTAAAGATATTAAATACACCGATTTATTGTACCACTTGGAAGCCTTACAGAGATGGAAATGACACCTACTGCCATTGAAAAAGGGTATCTAATTAAAATTGGAAAAACTATGAATTTTATCAAAAATGTTCAGCATTTTGGGAAAATTTTGTTATAATTTTTTTTCTCCATCTATCCAGAGTAAATGTTCATCATAAAAGGGTGTCAGGGTAAATTTCATGAAAATTGGAAAAACACAAATTTTGGACATATACTGCCAGGGATTCATTATAGCATTTTTCGCCGAAAATCAAAATTTCAATCGACCAACCAACCCCACAGCACCCTGATCATTGAAGTAAACACACAATACACGTTTGTCTAAAGAGAAACAAATATTTTATTTCAGTTGCTATATATAAAATTTCTATTTACAGATGTATACTAATATTATGTAAAGTAGCACACAAATGGAGATAAATCAATGCTCTACAAAATTCAAAAGTTCTTCAAAAAAGTAATTAACACCACATCAAATCATCAATGGAATGCAATAAAACATCTCAATAATATACACAATAATCCCCAAATTACAGTTTTACCATTTCTCTGATCAGTGAAAGATGATTTATTACTAATACAATACTTACTAACAGAACTTGCAAAGCAAATCAATACAATATAGTATTAAAAACATTGTTCATTAAATGACAAAAATAGCTATTTCATTACAACACTATAACATCAATAAATAAATACAATGGCACACAACGTCAAACAAGGTGATTAGTTTCATATACCGGTACATGTACATTTGATTCAGTGAGACTACTGTAATAACAGATCATATACATTATTTTGTAATTCTACACTCACAATGGCTTTTCATTCCCTGTAATTTCCACAGCAAGCTGCACAATCATGTCATAATTCTAAATATCTACCGTTCTTGTACAATAAAATTCTTCTAAAACATTTGAAAATTACACAACAGAAAATAAGTTTTGTTACCCACTGGCAGCAAGGATACATAACCACAAAATAAATTTTGAATAAAAATGAATATCACAAAATGCAAAAATGGACAAACGGAAATTAAGGTATCTCTTTTCGATTCATTCCAAACACACCTAACAATATATGTCAGCATTTTGTTTTCAAGAAAAAAAAGAAGACTTCACATATAGTACCTTCAATTTAAATTTCAAATATACATTTACAAGTATTCCAGGTTTCAATACTTTCAAAGTGATGTTAGTGCATCCTTCTAAACTTCAATTCAAAGTGAAAAGCACTTACAATTTCAACAAGTAATACTGCTATTAGTACTTTCATTTTCAATAGTATACAGCGGTGACAAAAGCCCTACTAAATGAATCAAGTTTACAGTTAGATTCTCTATACTTCAAATACAAGTACGCTTTAATCGTGGGAGGGGGGGGGGGAGGGGGGAGTGGGTAGATTGAGCAACTGTTTGCTGTCTAAACTACTATGCTATTATTATTTCCAGTGACAAAATTACTTTAAAATTTTGGGGGCTACTTTTCAAGCTTGCTTGCATGAAAATAACACTCTTTAAATTGTTTTGCATTGAACTCTATGCAAAATTTGGGGGCTCTTTTGGCATTTCGGGGGCTAATTCGCCCCAAGCCCCCGTGTATTTTTTTCCCTGATTATTTTTATTACCAACACTAATGTAAATCACTACACTAAATATTGAGTAAATTGAGAGGTGCCCCTATGGCATTGCTATTTCTTTGGAAGCCTCATGTTCAATTTTTATAAAAAAACTACACGTATCAAATGGAAGTGTTCTCTGTGAAATGCACCTTTCATTGTAGAATCCAAAGGAAGTTGAGCCAAATATTTTCTGTTGTTTAACTGATAATACAATAAAGAACCATTTCTGTTTCATTCAACATGATCACAATCGATTTAGAAAAATCAACTGAAGGCAATTTCAATAGCCTTGTGCGTCACCTACATGTATATGAAAAGTGCGAACATGACAGTGGCGTTGCTATATCTCTTAATCCAAACATGATTTTCATGAGACATGCAATAGGGTAGTGAAATTGCCCTCGAGTTGATTTTGCAGAAAATAGTTGCGATCATGCTATTCTTGAAAAGTTGTGAATTCAGTAAAATAATCATTCATCCACTTTCTTATAAAATTATATAAAAATATTACTTGGAAAGATTAAGATAAAAGAACTTTCTTCACCCCCCCCCCTTCCTGCAAAATATTCTATTCAACAATATTAATCAACAACTAATTATCAATTCAATGTAAACAAAATATTTTATTCAGCAGCAAATTATCTTATTTAACAAAAAACATCTTATACATCATGAAATATCTTATTCTAACAAAATATCTTACACAACAGAATATTTTATTCCACCATAAAACTTCCTACTTCCAATACTGTACTGGTCAACTTATAAAGTGCAGATATAATCATCAAAAGAAAACATTCTTAAACGCATGGGAATCCTGTTTTTGTAGGAGCTAAAGTGTACGATTTATTGAAGAGTTTGCTGTCAAGGCCAATGATTAGGAAGGGCTCCCTCCACACTAACAATTTTATAGTTGGGGGTCCGGATTGAATTTTTCTGGTCTATTTTGCATTGAACCCTATGTACAGATATTGACGTTTTGCGGGTCCAGACCTGCGTTGCGGGCACCCATGTGTCCCTGTTGTGAGTCAAACTCTTAAATGCTCCCTTTAAAGCATGGCAAACGAAAAAGCAAATAATCTTATTTCTCCTATAAAGCTATTACCAATGTAGGAATCACCAAACAATACATCTAGCACCTTGATGTCAATATCAATTCACAATTAAAACTAACAGGTCCACAAGAAAGAAATTTCTGAAATTCTATTGCTATGTTTATGATGGATCCGATTGGCAACAATTTTTTTTAGCAAGATCAGTCCATTACCGGTAGCCACTAGGTTTGTGTCTCTTTAACATGATTTCAAACCAGACTTTCCATGCACACCAGAGGAATTATGTGGCACCAACAATAGGGGCCACCTGGAAAAGAGGTTCAGACAGAAATTTGGCAGAAGCATTTA